CTCACCCTCATGTCACCTGCTGGGACAGGGAGAGAAACCTCAGAAACGGTATGGGAAGGAGGAGAACCAAAAATATTGAAAAAATGGGGGGAATGATCAGGAAGTGAATTCCCCCAAACTTTTTCCAATGGGGGAAAGAAGAGAGGATTGCATCTATTTCTATATCACATTCCAACACTCAGAGGGACAAGAAGGAGTCCCTGCCAGATGTCAGCCAGGATGGGTAGGAAACCATGAGTGATACCTGCTTTGAGGTTCTGACATCTGCTGGAGACAACACTGATAATGGAGAGCTCACAAGGTCTTTGAAAGGAAGCGCTGAGGCGCTGACAGTCTTTGAGTTGGTTTACTGAGTCCTTACCTGCGTAGGAGCCTCTCAGTATCTCTTTTTTCTCGGTGCCCTGGAGATCCAGGACCCACAGTTGTTCCCCTTCTTCCAGCTGAGAGACTGCATCAGGATTAGAGACTGGAAAGTCTGCTCAAGAGAAGGAAAACTAGGGAGATCAGGGGAATTCATAGGAGCTTTCTCCTAAAACATGTTCCCTTATTTTAATCCCACCTTGTTTTAAAACAATAAAATCCCAGGACCAGCTCCTCAGGTGCTCAAAGATGCAGAATCCTCTGCTTATGATTAATTACCTCGCTCCATGTCTGTTGGGCATACACACAACCAGACACTCACCATCAAAGAAGCCCTAATACACAGGGAACGTAACTCCATGTCTCAGCTGATAGTATGAGATCCAGTGACAGAGAAAAAATATCAAAGGAAGCTGGGACCATTGAGAGTGGGCTAGGGATATTTGGTGTAATAAGGAAGAGAAGGGATGTCACTATGTATCAGACATTTTTGAGGAATTACGGAACACAGTCCGGTGTAGTGTTAGGGAATATGGAAATTGCCCAGTGTATGGATAAGATTATAGAATTGTAGACATGTAGCATTGGAAGGCACCTTGAAAGATCAACTAGACCAATTGCCCTCGGTAACCTATTTTAGTAATTAGCTCCCCTTCTGGTTAAAAAGCTCTTCCTACTAACTTACATTTCCCCTGCTGCAGATTAAGTCAATCATTTCTTGTTCGATACTGGCACCATCCTTTTTATAGGAAAAATAATATTTTTGAAGATTTTTTATCAGAACCTTTGCCTGTGTTGCACAGACTGGAAATGCCAGCATTTATCCTCCCGCCCCCCCATTGTGTACACTGAGTAAACCGTTGGTGAGACTCCATGGCAGAAGGATTAGCTGGAGCAGCTTGGCAGAGCGGAGACTGTGGTATGAAGAAAGGTGCGTGTGAACACTGAGGGATCTGGTCCGTCTCATTTCAGGAGTCAGTGTAATGGCTGTGATAGTAGAGGCTCACAAGGAGGAGTTCTTGCCTTGGAGACTGTCAGCCATCTGGTGGCAGACATCCTAGTGATCCCCAGGGGTAAGTGAAACAATGGCTCAGAAGTAATCCCGATGGGGAAGGTAAATTGGGGGGGTTGAGGAGGGGGAAGATTTTGTAAATCTGTGTTGGTTTGTGTGAAGGAAGCTTACAAGTATGGGCACCCTCCATACACTAGACCAGACCAAAACCCCAGTTCTGCCTTAGCAAAGAGAAGATGTTACACTTGGTGGCATTCTGTAGCTGTGGGCCACTGGCAGGTTGGGGTGATGCTGAAACTGGGCAGTGCAGAGGTTGCATTGTGCAGTGATGTGTACACTAATCACTTCCCCTTCTAAAAACAGGACTCCTTACCCAGCGAAGTCACGTTCTCGTAGTTCTCCTGCATGACGTCTCTGTAGAGGGCTCTCTGACCTGGGTCCAGCAAAGTCCACTCTTCTTCAGTGAAATGCACAGCCACCTCCTCGAAGGTCACAGCCCCCTGAAAGAGCAAGAGCCCAACACTCAGCACCTGCTGCCCCAATCACAGCCCCACTCATCATGGAGGAAAGGAGCCAATTAAGTGGAAGCTCTGTGTGACTCACAGTGAACAGAGTCTCACCCCCACCCTGCTCACAGCACCCAAGAGGAGAAAGAGAGAGCCTCTCGTCCCCCAATAAGGAGAGGGATGGAGTGTTCACATCCATCACTCACCAACTAGCCAGAGGCCGATATACGACATGAATCCCCCCGTAGAATCCAGAGACACCCGAATGAACATCCCAATCCCTTCCCTATTCCGGCATCTCAATGTGAGGGGAGGGACAGTTCACCTAAGCCCCGCTGCGAGTGCTCCTTTTGTGTCCCCCAGCAGCCACTGGCTCATAAGTTCAGGCTCCCACACTAAAATCTTGGTAAGTTTTCCCAGCTCTGTCCAGGGAGGTTGTTTTTTGTTCCAAAAATGAAGGATTTGGAATGGAAATGCCTAAGGGTCTGTTCCTAGACTTGAGAACCAAGTGACACTAGTCCCAGCAGGTTTCTCACACCCTGTGTGCCTCTTTCTGCACCTCTGCAGTTTCTGCCTCCTCCTACTTGCAGATCAAACTCCCTAGACCAGGAGTAACCAACTCATCGGTCACGATCTCTGGGCCACTGACATCCAGCAGAGCAGTGGGGCTCAGACAAGCTGTCAGCGAGCTGCAGGCTCCTCTCTGTGCTATCCTTGGGGGGGGCAGGTTTCTCACACCCTGTGTGCCTCTTTCTGCACCTCTGCAGTTTCTGCCTCCTCCTACTTGCAGATCAAACTCCCTAGACCAGGAGTAACCAACTCATCGGTCACGATCTCTGGGCCACTGACATCCAGCAGAGCAGTGGGGCTCAGACAAGCTGTCAGCGAGCTGCAGGCTCCTCTCTGTGCTATCCTTGGGGGGGGCAAACAGCGTGTCTCTGCACACTGCCCCTGCCCACGGCTCCCATTGGCTGGCTCCTGGCCAAGGGGAACCATGAGGAGAGTGCTGGGGCTGGCGGCAGTGCAGGGAGACAAACTGGACACCTCCACCTCAGGAGAGCACATGGGAGGATGCTTCAGGGAGTGCCACGGAGACATGGCAGGCAGACTGTCTTGAGTGCTGCTGTGCTGGCAGCTGGAAGCCACCTGTAGTAAGAGGCTGGTGTCTGTATTTCGTACGCCATCCTGTACCTCTGTCCTAGCCCTGATTCCCCTCCCAGAGCCAGCACCTTACACTCCCACCTGCACCCCAAAACTGGGGAGGCGGCTCCAGAATGAGGCAGAATTTTGGAGTGTAGGTGGGAGTGTGGGGTGCTGGCTCTGGGAGGGGTCTTCAGGCTGGGACACAGAGCCAGGAACCCAGACCTCCACCTGCACCCAGAAACTCTGCCTCAGCCTGGAGCACCCTTGCAGAGCCAGCACCCTGAACGCCCTCCTGCACCACAACACTCTGCCCAGCCTTTACAAATCTCAACCCTTCCTGCTCCTGAATCCCTCGGCCTAGGCCCAGTGAAAGTAAGTGAGGATGGGGGAAGAGCAAGTGACGGAGAGAGGGGGGAAAGGTGAGGGAGGGGCATTGGAGAAGGGGCGGGTGAATCCTGGGCTGCCCTGAAATTTAAAAAGTGATCTTGGCATAAAAAGGTTGGGGACCACTGCTCTGACTCTCCCACCACCTCTGAATTAACCGTTCCTTTTCCACCAGCAACTAACTGATAGTCCCTACCTGAACCGATTCCAGGGCTGCCATGGCCCGTCCCCGTCCCATAGGAGGGCAGGATGGCCTGGAGCAACACATGGATGTCATTCCGCAGCCTGTCAAGGCAAGAAGAGAATTTAGGGAGCTGTTACAACAGGCTGTGGTTTGTGTCACATCACAATCTCTGCCCTCCCAGCTTCTCCCCTGCAGAAAGGCACCCCAGGGTCTGCCATTCAAAGAACAGAAAGGTTCCAAACATAAGAGCTGGTAGTAAGGGGAGCAGGGGGAATTTAAGTACCAAATGTCGGTGGGTACAGTGACAACACTAAACCCAACGTTTCCATTGAGCTCGTGGGATGTTTGGGGTCAACTTTTTGTTAAAACACGTAACCAGGAGAAATTACCTTTTAGATCTGATTCTGACAGAGAAGAATTGGAAATGAATAGGAGGGTTGAAGGTGTGATGAAGTGGGGGATTAATGGAGGCTCAACGGGGTTGCATGCACAAGAGGTGGCACTCAGTATCCTTGGGGATTACCGGTTTAGCAAGTTGAGCAAAGTGTGAGTTTGTTGTAATAGCGACCAGTGCAGAACTAGAGACCCAGTGACTGGTGATCAGAAGACACAGCTTGGTCTGGTAAGTGAGATGACAATGGGCTGAGGAGAGAGGACCCCTGGGGACCTGAACAGCTGGTTCCAGCCATGGGGGAACAAAGCGGAGAGGAGAGGAGAGGCAGAGAACAGAGGGGCGTAGGTGACACTATTCACCTGAACAGAAGGCAATGGACAAGGGAGGAGCTGCTGGAGAGGTATATCTGAGTTTGGATGCAAGGAGGGGGCTCCTGCACTGGGCAGAGGGAGAATGCAGAGCCAACCCGGCTGAAGGGGCCAGGCCTACAGGCCCTGAGAGACCCTATGGTGTGCTCAGATGTTCAATAAACCCTCCTGGTTTAGATTTGCTGAGGGACATTCCAGTCTAGAGGTCAGGGCTACACTATTCCTTCTGGGAGTAGAGGACTCAGGTGCACACAATGAGTGGACTCCTCAAGGGGGCCCACAGCGATAGGTGCACTGGAGGCTTAGAGAAATGCAGTCCCAGAAGACAGAGGGGCTTAAGCCCCAAGGGAGAGTGGATCCCCAAGAAGGGGGCACTGGAGGGGGTTCCAAGTGTGAGCACAACTCTGAGTCCATGACAGAAGGCCAGGGGTGTGTGTGAAAGTGATCATGAAATCGTGGACTGAAATGCACAAGTGCAGGAAAACTAAGGCTCTTAACAGCCAAAGGGTTTCCAGCCATCTGCAGGAACAGTAATTGGTGGGCTGGAGGAGACAGGCTGTGGGCATTCTACCTGAACTATTCTCATGCATTTCAATGTGAGCTGTATAGAAAGTAGCTCTCAGATGAAGCAAGTCATGTATTTTTATTGCCTTTTGAAGGCGCTTCCTTTTGGAAGTTTTGCCAGCTGTGACCAATATGCCTGCATTCAAAGCAATGTTTTAGCCTCCTTAAATCCAAATGCAGACTTTCATCTGGTCTAGTATTGCCAACTCTGCTATGTGGGTTAGGGATGTGGGGGAAAAAATCACCTCAATTGTAACAGTTATGCCAGCAAAATCTAGAGAGTCGTAGTTACGTCAGCCATTTCGTGTTGCACTTCACTAATAATCTGGTAATAAAGATACAATGAGGGTGAAGATCCTGAGCTTACACTGATAAGATCAAGTCCATGTCTAACAAAGGGGGAGTTCTTACGATGGGAATTGTCAGCTGTCTAGTAGCAGACATGCTAGTGATGTTCAGGGCTCAGTGAAGGGTAAGTGAAGGTAATGCCAAGAAATCCCCAGGAAAAGGGTAAATGGAGGGTAGGATTTTGTAAGTCTGATCTGGTTTGTGTGGAGGAAGCTCAGAACAGGCATGGGCAGACTCCATTCTCTAGACCAGACCTAAATCCCAGATTTGCCTTAGCAAAGAGAAGATGTTACACTTTGTGTTGTGCTGCTTCTGTGCCCTGTTCCCAGAGAGTTCTGTAGCAGGGAAGAACAGAGCATTCGTGAGAGAGTCACTGGCATGTTGGGGTGATGCCGAGACAGGGCAGAGCAGAGGCTGTATATAAGGATGACAAGAATCTTAATTCTGCATTTCCCCTTCTAAGACCCACAACGACAGGCCTCCTTACCCAGCGAGGTCACGTTCTCATAGTTCTCCTGCATGACGGCTTTGTAGAGGGCTCTCTGAGTGGGGTCCAGCAGAGTCCACTCTTCCCAGGTGAAATACACAGCCACCTCCTTGAAGGGCACCGGCCCCTGAAAAAGCAAGGCCACTCCCATTTAATACCTGCTACCCTGCTCACTAGTCATGGGGAAAATGAACCAATCAAGTGGAAGCTCTGGGAGGCTCTCAGTCAGCATAGTCTCACCCCCACTCAGCTCAGAGGCATCAGGGCAAGGGGAGAAAGTGAGAGACCCTCATCCCCCCACCAAGCAGGGAGATAGAGTGTTCACGCCCATCACTCACCGACTAGCCAGAGGTTAATATAGGACATGAAGCCCGCAGCAGAATCCAGGGACAGCGCCCAGCAGATGGATGTGAAGGAAGGGGCAGGTCCCCTAAGATCAGGTCCCCCTGTTCAGGTCCCCTTTATATCTCCCAACAGCTGCTGGTTCGTAAGTTCAGGCTCCAGCAGTAAAGCCCAGTAAGCTTTCCCAGACCTGCCCAGGGCTCCAAAAACCCTGTTCCAAAAATTAAGGAATTTCCACTCTAAACTGTAAGAGTCTGTTCCTCGACTCGAGGACACAATCCCAATAGGTCTGTCACACCCTATGTGCCTCTTTCTGCATCAAGGTTCCCTTTAAGCTGCATGGCCTTGCTGCTGCTTACTGAACCCCACCCAGTCAGGAGCTCAGAGCTCCGCGCACGGGGCTGCCTACTTGGGGGAGGGGTATTTCTCCCTCAGTGACAGCAGTAGCTGCCCGCTGAGCACAGAGCAGCAAGTATCCACCAGACAATAGGGACACATCCCCTCCCTACTGGCAGGGAGAGTCTGGCTGGGCAGGGTTCATTAAGCAGCTGTGGGGCCATGCTGCCTTGCAGCTTAAAGAAAACCTCGTCCTATATAAGTTCTGCCTCTTCCCACCTCCAAATTAAACTCTGTACACACCCTGAAATGACTCCAGCTCAGTCATTTTCCTTTCCTGTCCCATAGGAAGATGGGATAACCTGGAGCAAAACATGGATGTCATTCTGCAGCCTGTCAAGGCAAGACGACAATTTAGGGAGCCATTAGAACCAACTAGAAAATTGTGAGGTGACACAAATGACAACCTCCCAGCTTCTCCCTGGCAGAAAGACAACCCAGGCTCTGCAATGACTCCAGCTCAGTCATTTTCCTTTCCTGTCCCATAGGAAGATGGGATAACCTGGAGCAAAACATGGATGTCATTCTGCAGCCTGTCAAGGCAAGACGACAATTTAGGGAGCCATTAGAACCAACTAGAAAATTGTGAGGTGACACAAATGACAACCTCCCAGCTTCTCCCTGGCAGAAAGACAACCCAGGCTCTGCCACTGAAAGATCAGAAATGTTTCAAAGTCAAGAAAGTAGGTAGGGCAACTGTAACTAGCTAGGTATCAGTGAGTACAGTGACAACACCAAACACACTTCCACTGAGCTTATGAAATGATTTAAGGACAACTTTTTGTTTCAGAAGACGGAAGTAGTAACCAGGAGCACTGACATTTTAGACCTGATTCTAACAGAGAAGAACCAGTAATGAATATGAAGGCTGAAGATGAGTGGGTGAAAGTGATTGAGACACTGTAGGATTTCATGACTCAAGTACATGAACAAATTAAATAAACAATGGACTTCAAAAAGTAGACTTTGAGATCAGGTAGAAAAGGGTCCATTGGAAGAAAATGTAATGGGAAAGGAGTACAGGAGAGTAAGTAGTTTCTCAAAGTGACACTATTAAAGGTGTAACAGAAGTTTAACCTAAAGCAAAGGACAGACAGGCAGAGTAGGAAGAGATCAATATGGGTCCATCAAGAGCTCTTTAATTACTTGAAAATAAAAAGAAGCCTCACAAAAAATGGAAGCAGACAAATTGTGAAAGGGAAGTGCAAAAGAGCTGCACAAGCATGTATGGACAAAATCAGAAAGGTTAAAGCACAAAATGAGTTACATCAAGTAAGGGACATAAAGGGCTGTAAGAGAATGGGGAAGAAAAATGTAGGTCTTGTATTTAGCAGGAAAGGAGGGCTCATAAATGATGGAATCAAGAAGACTTGCATGTTTAATGCCTATTTTACTTGTTTTCACTAAATAGATTAACCATAATCAGATATTTTGCATAATTATTACCACCACCAAGTGGAAAGAACAGGTTAAAGAATATCTAGAGAAGTTAGATGTATTTAAGGCCACATAGCATAATGAAATTGAGCACTTAAATAGCTAGTCAAAAGAATCTTGGAATCATTAGCTATTCTCTTTAAGAACTCATGCAGGACAGTTGAGGCTTCAGAGGACTGGAGAAAGGCAAACATAAAACCCGTCTTTAAAAAGAAAGAACCTGGGGAATAAAGACCTGTCAAACCTAATTTCAGTACCTAGAAAGATTCTGCAACAAATTATTAAACAATCTAATATATAAAAGGAGAATGTTTGTATGTTTGTGTTCTAATAACTTGGACACTATAAGGGTATGTCTACACTAGCCACCCTAGTTTGAACTAGGGTGGCTAATGTTGTCATTCGAACTTGCAAATGAAGCCCGGGATTTAAATATCCCGGGCTTCATTTGCATGTTCCCGGGCGCCGCCATTTTTAAATGCCTGGTAGCTCAAACTACCTGCCCGCGACGACACACGGCACGGGCTAGGTTGTTTGAATTAACACTCCTAATTCGAACTACCGTTACTCTTCATTGCAGGAGGAGTAACGGTAGTTTGAATTAGGAATGTTAATTTGAACTACCTAGCCAATGCCGCGTGTAGCTGCGGGCAGGTAGTTTGAGCTACTGAGTATTTAAAAATGGCGGCACCCGGGAACATGCAAATGAAGTCCGGGATATTAAAATCCTGGGCTTCATTTGCAAGTTCGAATGACTACATTAGCCAACCTAGTTTGAACTAGGGTGGCTAGTGTAGACATACCCTAAGAGCTACCTCAACCAAACTTTCCATGGGGTAACCTTTACTCCCGGAGAAGGCTGTAAGGGGGTGTGATGGGGGCCCCACTCCCTCTTCCCCCGCACTAGCTCCACTAGCGGCAATGCGCTCCCAGGCTGCTGCTGTTCTGGGCTTGTGGCACTTGTGCAGAGGCAGCGTGTGGAGGACCGCCTTCATGGCACAGGTGCACCTCAGCCGGCGTGCAAACTGGCGGGCAGGTGGATCCAGGGATAGCAGGGACGCCGGCGTAGAAAAGGGCACTGACGGTTAAAACCGGCGCCGGGCCAGACACAAGTGGGGGGGAGAGGGAGAAGGGGTAGCGGGGTTGGCTCTTTTGCATGCTGCCACCCCCCGCTTTCCCGCCACCTCCCTAACTGCTGGCCTGTGCCCCACAGACAGAGCCCCGCTCTGCCCCACCCTTCCCCAGCCACCTCCCAAACTGCCAGCCTGTGCCCCACACAGACAGTGTCCCACACCTCCCCTACCACCTCCCTAACTGCCAGCCTGCATCCCACATAGACAGAGAATCTGATTTTCTTCCACCACACCTGTCCAGATATCACCCTATCTAATACATAAAGGAGAATGTTTGTAAGTTTCTGTGCTAATAATTTGGACACTATAAGAACTACCCCCCACACAGACAGCGCCCCGCTCCTCCCCGCCCTTCGCCCGCCACCTCCCTAACTGCCAGCCTGTGCCACACATACACAGAGAATCAGATTTTCTTCCACCACATCTGTTCAAGTACCACCCTATCTAATATATAAAGGAGAATGTTTGTAAGTTTCTGCACTAACAACTTGGACACTAGAAGTTAAGAGCTACCGGAAACAAATGTTGCATGGGATAACCTTTCATCCAAGAGAAGGTTTGAAGGCATTTTTGGACCCGATTAGGGTCACGACCTGCCCCCCATGGTGCCTGCAGCCCTGGGCACAAACTAGGGTGCCCCTCCTGCATGTAGCCTCCTGGGACTCACCCCCTCCTGCCCAACAGGTTACATAACCGACCCTCTTCCCCCCCTCCCCCGCCCCACCGGCACGCAGTGCCCCCACTCCCATGCGCACAATGGGTCGGGCACCTGCAGCTCCGGACGCGAACTGGGGTGCACCTCCCACACGTAACCTCTCCTTCACCTGGGGTCACTCCCCACCTGCAACCCCCCACCCCCCCTCCAGAAACCAAAACCAAAGCCAGCCAGCCTTTCTGCTCAGCTCGCTGGGCTTATCCGAGCAGAAGGAATCTGTGAGCCTGCTGAAGCGCAGGGCAGAGGGGCCGGGTTAAACCCTCGATGCATTACACTGTGAGTGGGGCTCTTCTGTATCTTGTTCCATCAGGGTTAGATGGGAGCTCTGAGCTTTTGCTTGCCAAAACAGGGCAAGTGGATCCCTGAGCCAACCTTGCAAAGAGAAGTCCCCTTGATACTCACTGCATGACTGTGTACTGTTCTCCTGGGGGCTGGCTGCTTGGTCCCGGGGGGAGGAGTGTCCTGCTGCTCTCAGAGGATCAGGTGTGGGCTAGGAGCCATCAGCCCCCAGGGTATGAGGCTCTGGGGGTCCCCTGGCTCAGGGTCTGTGGCTCTGGGAGTCCCCTAGCTCAGGGTCCCCACCTTTCCTAAATTTTCTAAATTTTGTTCTTCCAGTTTCCCGAGCAACGCCGGGTAAGACCAGCTAGTTGTAAATAGAAAGGAACATAAATTCTGGCAAGTGTAAAAGTATAATTAGATAGGCCATGCAGCAATTTGAAGAGCAACTAGCAAGAGACAATAACTAATAGCTAATTTTTTAAAGTCCTTCTGAAGCAGAAAACAAGGAGTGAAATGTCTCCCCAACCCCACTTGTAGCAACCATTAGACCTTGAGCACATGAACAAGAACTGGCCAGCCAAGCACCTGAGAGAGAGAATGCTTAGTGCCATCTCACTGTGTTGGAAGGGGGAACATCCAGATTTGTGGGATTTTTAATTAATGTTTCATTAGTGCATAGGAAAAAAAGCAAAACATGAGATTTGGTATCAATATCCAGTAATGAGAGAAAGAAGGGTGGAAATCTGAGGAATTTTTGATCAGTTGTCACAAATTTGACAGAAAAATGGAGAAGTGGGAAGGATTAATAATAAGAAAGGTAAAATCTCAGATAACTTCTTCTCTACAGAGAGAAAAGAGCAACATCAGAAAGGATTTTATATCAGTATGTAAGAAGTTGAGAAAAGGGAAAAATTGGAGGAGATTTTAATTCTAATTTCATAATAAGAAGCAAAGAAAAATCTCAGGACCTATCAAAACAGTAACAGATAACAGGAGAGAAGGGGATGCAAGGAAATTGTGGGATGGATCGCCGTGATACCATGATATGTCAATGCAAATTGGCTGAGGGCCCATCCTACAAAAGGACAATCACCCTGGGTCAAAGCAAAGGTCCCTCTAGCTGAGTATCCTGTCTTTTGACAGTGGCCAATGCCAGGTGCCCCAAAGGAAATGAACAGAACATGGAAGCATCAAGTGACCCAGCTTTTGGCAAAGAGAGGCTATGGACACCAACAACTCACATCAGACCAGGGATGTGAATGGTTAACCTGTAAGCCTCACTCTTAATGGGTGAGGTTTACCAGTTATGGTTAACCGGCAGGGGGCTCGAGCAGCTCCCTGCCCATCATGGGCAAGGGGCTGCTCCAGCCCTGTGGGGCACTTTGCAGGCAGGGACATTCCAACCCACAAAAGCAGTCCCTCTCTGTGGCACTATGGGGAGGGGAAGTGCAGTACACACCAGCCCAGCTGGGCAGGAGTGACTCCCCCACCCCACTGTAATCAGTTAAATGGGTTAAACATTACCTTTAACCAGTTAAGCAATGAAATGGGATTTCAGATCCCTACATCAGACCTGATACACCCATTGCTCCAGCACACTGCTGCTATTATCTTTCAACAACGGCAATCAGTCCAGTAAAAGAGAGCCTCACCCACCCTGTCTCTCGGGGGACTTTATAGCAATTCTTGAAAAGTGGAGAGAAAAGGGGTCAATTGCTAAATATGTGATAATACAAGTTAAAAGCACCAAGATCTGAGGGACAATCAATAACTGGAGGGAAAAGTGGGAAAGTTTGAAAGGATTTAAAGATTGAAAGTGGGAAAGTCTGCGCTGGGAGCCGGTTTTTAAACTGGCTCCCATTGTGGACCAGCTCCCACCTGGCTCCCATGCTGCTACCCCTGACACAGAGGCAGCAGAGTGGGATAACAGGGGACTCCCTGGGAGTGGGGCCGGATTGGACTGGCTGCCGGTCCTGCCCCTAGGGACTATAGAATAGTTGAGTAACCAATAAGAATTCATGTAGTTACTCAACTATTCCAGTGTTTCTCAACCTTTTTTTATAAAGTACCTCTTTAAAAAAATATTATAAGTACCCCCAGTACCTACAGTTTTCAGACACACAATTTTTTTTCTATCACTGCAACACATTTGCTTCAACAACTTAATCAAAGCCAGGCGGACGGACGATGACATTTTTGGGTGTAAAAAGTACAAAAATAAAGCAGCGCTGTAAAACTTAAAACAAAAATGCAGTTTTCTCCAAATGTCAGTTGTGTTGGTGTACTTGAGAGAAGTCTGGGAGGTACCCCAAGGGTACTCGTATCACTCATTGAGAAACACTAGACTATTCAATTATCTGATATCCAACATCCCTAACCCAGGGCAGGAATTTCCCACCTCAACATGGGCAATTTGCTGCAGGTAAAATGGGTGGGAAACTTTCCCAAGGCTGGGGAGATTTTACACTGAGCTGCGAGAATGAGGAAGTGGGGCAAAATCTGAGGAGGAAAATAGTCACCCGGCCAGTTATTGGGGGGAGAAATCCACCTGGATTTGGGGGAGGACAAGCAGTCAGGAGAAATTAACCCATCTTTTGAAACGGAAAGGGCAAAATCAGTGAGACTAAAATTCCCCCCAGACACTGTCCAGAGACAGCTCCATCTGCCCTGCACACGATCTGTCCCCTTCCTGTTTCCCACCGCGCCCCAGAGGGGCGCCACGGGGGGGGGGGGGGGGGCGCGT